AATGCCGAGATAGTATTTTACACCTAATAAGTTAGTAAAATAATTTTCATTTATCGGTCACTGACAATTTTTTTTAATTATTTTATTTAACTTTATTATTTTCCAGTTGGATCAGAGAGAGAGAGAGAGAGAGAGAGAAAGTGAGAAAGCAAGCAACCAGGTCCAGGACTTGAACAGTGGTCGGCCATGTGGGAGTCCAGTGCCCTCAACCACCACACCACCTGCTGGCCCCACTGACAATTTTTTTTAAAGAATTCTTTTATTTAACTTTATTTGTTTATTTATTTAATTTGACCAGAGAGGGACAGAGAGAGAGAGAGAAAGTGAAAAAGCAAGCTGCCAGGTTCTGGACTCAAACCACGGTCAGCTATGTGGGAGTCCAGAGCCCTTAACCACCACTCCACCTACCGGCCCAGTCACTGACAACTTAATATGACTCTATTCACAAAACTCTTTCCTGAGAGATTTTAGTTTAGTTTTTATATATGATAATTAAGTCAACTCAGAGATAGTAAAGATAACCTTCAAAAAGGACAAGGACAAAAAGAAATGAGAATGGAGTTTGAAGTCTAAGCCACTAAGGCAAATTCCTCACCCTTCTGGTTTGGTTTGGTTGTTTTTTTAGGCTGAACAACATTGGAATTGTTTTCCTGTATGGGGAAACTGAAGTCAAAGGGGTATTTGGAGCCTCACTCTTCCCACTCACTGAGAATAGTGGCGCTGGGAGCCCAGCAGTAGGAGGGAGAAGAAGGCAACAGAGGAAATGGGGCCAACCCAGATTCCCTCACTCACTCGAGTGTTGCTGGGGCGAGACTTTGGCTGTAGCTCCTGCTGCCGTACCTTCATTTATTCTTATCATTCCCCAGGCTTGGCACTGATTTTTTTTTTAATTGTGGAAAGTATGCATTGATTCTTTCAGCTAACTGATCTTTCCAATAAATTTTATTTTCATTTTTAATTTTTTATTTCTCTCCTTGTAGAATGAGAAAGACACCCTTCACAAGGTGTTTATACTGGGATAATCCCCCAGTCCTACAGCCAACCAGGATCAGGGGTGCCCAACATGTTGAGGCAGACCCAGACATACACCTAGAGCCATCCCACATGGTCTCCAGCATTACACAGCACCTCCTCTGCCTTTGCCACCTCGGACGAGCCAAGTAAATTTCTTTTCTGGGTGAGTTAGTCCAGGTTGGTTGTCCACAAATAAGAACACTGAATTCCATGTCACAGTTTTGAACTGAAGCAGGCCCTATATTTGGACAATTTTCCAAATAGTCTGATATTTTTTCAGGTCTATACCCAAGAAATAAATGCTTCCTCTTGCCTAATCTATTTCATTTTTTTTTAAATGGCAAGCTGGCATCCTGAAAAAAGGAAGACTGAGGCAAAGTAAGTAAAGCAAAAGAATTTATCTGGACTAGGGCCCTACAATATCCAAATTGTCTTGAATACAATGTGCCAAGGCCTTGAAGGTTTCAGGATACTTTTCAAGGCAAAAGTCAGGAGTGAGAGGGAGGAGCTGCAAGGAATCTTGGATGGCAGTGTTTGGCTAAATTCTATGTCTGATAAAGGGAGCAGGATAACCTCGTGATCACCTGGAGTCACTCTGCTCAACCTTAAGCAAACAGTGGAGACCTGAGTCTGGAATGTAAACCAGTAATGCATTTGGGCAATAAGGGTGTTCATCAAAAAAGTCCAATGTGTTGGGAACCAGCAGTTAGTGTAATGGCTATGTCGCTGGGCTCCCACGTAGTCGACCGCGGTTCGTGTCCCGGACCCGGTGGCTTAAAACTCACGCCGGGCGCGTGTGCGTGCGTGCCCAGGATCCCGAGAGGAGAATGGAGGAGAAGGGATTGCGGCGTGACCATCCCCCCGGGGAGTGATTTCTCGCTTTCTGTCTCTATGTCTCTCTCTGTCTGGCGAGCGCACGCGCCCTACAGTGAAAATCTCTCAAAAAAAAAAAAAAAAAAGTCCAATGTGTTTAGGTAGAATCTTGAGCTATTTCAAGTTCACATTTCTTTTCTTTTTTTAAGAGGTTTTTGGCTTAGGGCACATGCACTGGTGGGGAAGAGAGAGGTTTAAAATGACCATCATTATTTATT